TAAGGAAGAGTTTCACACTTAACTTCCCTTGTCTAATCAATTAGGTAGGAACAGAGTCGCTCCGTCCATCCGGCCTCCCGAGGAGGGGAGGTTCCCCTCTCCTTCTTGAATAAATTTTAAAAGCAGAGCGATGGACTCGCACCGATAATTGCCCAAAGGTTGGGGAAACTCAGGAGCAATGCACTGAAAAAAAAGGGAAAATGAGGTCAAAAAGCAGAGGAAAAAAATGGATAGCACCAAATACGTTCCAGGCTGAGCATGCAGAATATTGCCTTAAAGCTCAAGCTGATAAAGAGATGATAATAACTAAATGGACTTAATGAAGATATTAATTCCCAATCTCTGAATCTCCTTCTCCAACCCTTTCCCTGTTTCAAAAATGAAGACACAAAGCAGTGCAGGTTTCCCTGGGCCAGTTCCACCCTGTGTTTCTTGCCCTGCCTCTTATTTTTTTCCTCCTCAGCATCAGCCTCGAAACATCTGGGTGGTGGTGGAGCTGGGAGCTGGAAGCGCCACAATTTAGTGAGAAAGGATGTTTTTGTGCTATTTCCAACCTTCCCAGAACAGAGCCCTTCAGAAAGCCCCTCACAAAGGCTGCTTTTTTGGCCTTTTTTTTTCCTCCCCACCACTTTGAAAAGCTGGGTGAGATCCTCCCTTATCTGCCTTCAGCAGCCTTGTACAAGAGAGAGACGATCCGAAAGGGGGGGGGAAGGGGTGACAGAAACCCTGGCCAACTTTGGGGTGTTTTTTGGGGGGTTTTGTTTGTTGCTTTTTTAGCTCCTTTTGGTTCAAACTGGAGTTCTGGAGCCCCTCCAGCCTCCTCCGTGCTGGGGGAGGATGTGGGACCACAAAGATTTACTGGAGACCGTCGCCGATTAGAATTCTGCTTTTCCCCATATTAAAATTTCTCTTTTTTTTTAAATTATTTTTTTAAATTTTTTTTTGGTAAAATATTGAATCAGAGTAAATCTGGGGGAAGGTTTAAAGAAGCTGCACTGCTGAGCACACCTCATCCATCCCCACTGGATCCCTGAGTCCTTGGGCTGAGCTCCACATGTCCCCACAGCCTGGGGGGTCTCCAGCTGGATCTCCTCTGGTCCTGCCCACCCCACGTCTCTTTTGGGGTGTAATCCCCCGGCAGGAATGCCTGGAAGCACCAGGATTTTTGTCCTGCAGAGCTGCACCCCTCAGCTG